TAGAATATTAATTAACAATAAAGAATATAAAAATTTAATTATGAATAATATAGTTAAGTACCAGTCGTCACATTGTTTACCTTGTTCCATATGACGTATTGAAACAAAACCTTGTATTGTCGATATAAATAATAAAAATTTTGTAAACTGACGTACCATCTTTAATTGAAGTACAGAATCGGATAAAACCTCCGTGTAAAACAGTTATTTATACTTCCTGAAAATAAAATGCTTTTATTATATATATATTTAATTATTAAGGAGAGAGAAGATATTAAGATAATTGAAAATTGAGGCATATAGAAAAATTTAAATATTTTACATACAGGAATAGAGTTTTCAGTAGTTTTTTGTATCTTACAAAATTCTAATTCTGATCAAATCTTGGAAATTTTCTATTATAATATATAATATTTAATTTTTTTAAATGTATATTTTTTCTCTTATGCAATTTTTTTTATTTACCACGTGTCTTTCCTTGACAAGCTTGAACAACAACAATTTTTATAACATCTTTCAATTCCATACAACAAACAGCTCCTTCAATTTCTTCCAGTGAAACTTCTTTTTCATCTGATGAAATTACACCTCCTATAATGTAAACTTGTCATTCTCCATTTATAAATATATTTAATAAAGTGTAGAAAAATAATATGTGATACAAAAAGGGAATGTAATACATCAGGTAAAAAATGTGCTAATAAGAATCAAGTGTAAAAAAAGTAGACACAACAATTTTTCTAAAAATATTCTCTCAATTAATTTCTACTTGAATTTTTATATTTATTTTATATTATTTGTATTTATTTTTATATTTATATATATATTAGAATCTTTTCATGAAATATAATACATTTGCAGTATAATATATATGTTACTCTCATCATTTTATAAGACTTACATATTTAATATATTGTGAGGGATAGAAAAAAATATTACTACATTAAATATTTGCCATAATTACTTTTCTTACCTTTATATCCATGACTTAAGATGCAAAGCAATAAACAATCATACTTGTTACCATAGTCTTTTGGAATATTTTTAATTGTTTCTATCATTTCTTTCCTCTTTAGATTTTTATATATCTTAACTTGGAACCCAAAAGCTTTAAATGTTTTAGATAAATTAATACAATCCGCATCAGTTCCAAGTCGCGTCTCATACTAAAAAAAAATTAAGTAATTAATAAAAAGAAATACAAATAAAAATAATTTCTTTGAGAATAAATGTTAATATAGTACCTCTCTTCCAAAAGACTTCTGATTTATAATCACACATAATCCATTATTAATAATTTGTATTTTCTCTTTATTATTTTCTGCGAGAGATGGTTCTGTCGGAAAATTTGAATGAACATAGTTTTTGTCATTTGCTCCAGTCTTCCCATGAATATCAACATGCAATCGATTTTCAAATTTCTCCAAATTGAGAGAAATTATTTTTAAATCCTTAAACTTTTCCAAATGTTTTAATAATTTTTCCATATTATGATTTTGATCTAAAAGAGAAATATATAAAAAAATCATAATAATAAAATTCATATGCACAATTAGTTATAATATTAAAATTAGTCTATTAAATTACTGCCCATAATAAATTAAACACACCTTTTGAAATTGTCATGTATTTAATTTGCATCCAATAAAGCATATGCAACTCAAGATAATCTACATCATCTAGCAACGATTTATAATTAGGAATATCAGATTTAACATAACTTAGTAATAATTTTTGCTCACTCTCGTTCAAAGATTCGCACAGTCTGTATAAGCACTTTGCGACTATGTTTATACTTTTTGAATAGAATGTGAAATTTGGAGCATATTGCAGGTCCAAATTCTCAAATGACAGTTTTAATTTCCTTATAACTTCTTGATTATTTAGAACGCATAACGATTCTAAAACTTTATCTTCCCAATTGTTCGGATATTGTCTCACATAATCTATGATCATGTATGAATCCTCCGTCTTTGCTTTTTGAAAAAGATTAAAGATATCCGTAAATGCATTTGCATAATCGTCTGCTATTAAAAATAATATAGAGATCTTCTCATCCATATCAAGATCTTTTTCCATCTGCCTTAAAATATTAAGGTTTATATCTGCCTTGACTGTGTTATTGGCAATTACATCCATTGCTAATATCATGAATTGTACATCTATTATTAATAATGTTGTCCTTTATCTGAAACATATATTAACAATTATTAATAATCACGTTACATTTTAATAACATTTTTTTAAATATATAATGTATATAAATTTAAATGTATAAAATATAATGTATAAAATATAAATATATAATTTTTATAAATATATAATAATTATTAATGATGGATGTGTAGTAAGTAGTAAGCACAAAAATTTGGTGACCTTCAAAATATAAAAGCATGTATATACTTACAAAAATAAACATTGTTTTCACATAAAAATATTACTTCTTAATTGCGTCACTACATAGACAACAAAAAGAAAAATTTCTGTAGCATATAAAATTAAAATATATAAATTGGTAACAATTTTTTATCACAATTTTTTATTTATTATAATAATTATTAATAATGAATGTGTAGTAAGCACAAAAATTTGGTGACCTTCAAAATATAAAAGCATGTATATACTTACAAAAATAAACATTGTTTTCACATAAAATTATTACTTCTTAATTGCGTCACTACGTAGACAACAAAGAGAAAAATTTCTGTAGCATATAAATTAAAAATATATAAATTGGTAACAATTTTTTATCACAATATAAATAAATATACATACACAACAATCAATCTTTGCCGACCTGCGGACAATCCTACTGATTAAGAATATCGTAAATTTAATAAGATTCATTAAGTATTTTGGCTAATATATGGGATGAACAAATCCGTAATTCTGGCCGCCCGATAGGCGTCTCCACCATGTCGCCTGTTGACCCTTAGGGTGCGATTACATGGACGCGCGGAAACGCGGAAACGCGGAAGAGAAAGTAACTAAACTTTACTAGAGTCCCGCATTTCCGCGCGTTCCATTCCGTCTGTTTTGATTGCCTTATATTACATGGAGCACATTTTGAGCGGAAAAGCGGAACGGGGAATTATAAAATATTAATATTTAACTATATTTATTGATTAAAATGCTTGTATCAGAGAGAAAGATGAGAGCGGCCAGGCCGGCGTTTTGGCTGTTACCGTTTTTACGGGACTGCTTGAAGCGCCCCTCGCACCCGTTTTTAATATCGGAACTAACTGCACACCCATTTTCTGGCAGGGTCGATAAAGTTTGTATTTGGTGCGAGTCCGTGCTACGCCCATAATTTTCGTGTTAACACAGTATCACGTATTCATTCTGTATATGTGCGATCTTTTCTCTTTTATATATATATATATATATATATGTATTTATATAATTTGTATAAAAACTAAAATATAATTATTAAAATATATATAATATATATGTATATGTGTAATGAAATATATAAATCTTATTTTAATTAAAATAAAAAGAACGATTAATTGTTCGACCACCTGGATTTTGGAATGTAATTTTTAATATATATTATATTATATTTAATATTTATCGCCGCTTCTATTAATATGAAGTGCAATGTCAACGTGCAATAATGTACAATTATTTAAAGTTTCCATGCCTAATGTATCATGCCGGTATAAAAGAACGTCAAGTAGCATGCGTAGCCGAGCAACTAAGATGACGAGCTGAAATCGTGGACATTTCAAGTTCAAACCCCTGCCTTTTTCAGATTTTTTTTTCACTTTTTTCAAATAAGTTATTATGTGTATAAATGTGTAATAATCAATATATCATTATTTGATAATTTTTTTTGTAATGGAACAAAATAAATTATTAAGAGTTTAACTAGGCTCTGTAATATATAAATATAAATTTAACATATATAAGATAGGCAATAAGAGCCAAATCGCGGATGACAGTGCGTTATTCTAAACGAAACTAAATTTTTTCGTTAGAATTAAATACCTGTGCACAAGGCACCAAATTTTTACTTGGACACGGCCAAGATATAAAATTGGAATAATCTCTACAAGAGATTTTTAATTCCATGTATCCCCTATTCCCCCTAAAGAAATAAAGTGCGAGAGAAAAATATAGATCCGAAAGTCGCAGAATCGGGAATCGAACCCGAGACCTTTCGCTTGCCGGGCGACTGCTCTTCCAATAAAAATCTCTTGTAGAGATTATTCCAATTTTATATCTTGGCCGTGTCCAAGTAAAAATTTGGTGCCTTGTGCACAGGTATTTAATTCTAACGAAAAAATTTAGTTTCGTTTAGAATAACGCACTGTCATCCGCGATTTGGCTCTTATTGCCTATCTTATATAAAATAAATTATTTTTTAATTCTGCAAGGAATTTAATTATTAATGCAAACGCCCACACACATAATTTAGATATTCAATTTTTTTAGTTCAAATGTTTCTTGCAATCTGTATACGACAATCAGTCCACTCGCTGTGCCACAGATTGCATCGCATAATACGCTCAGAGTTATAATACGATAGAGATCGCTTTACGCTGTTTTTCCTTGAAATAAATAAATTTTACGTGTTGTGTACGCGTGTTTAGTATATTTGTTTCTTTCATATTAATTTTAACTATAATTAGTTTTTTAATTAAGATTATTTTAGTGTTAGTTGTTTATTTGTTAGTGTCCTGTTTTCTTTAATTTCGCATTTTTTAATTTTCTTTTTTTTTTGGTGTTGGTGCTAACCCACACGGAACAAAACATCCAATGGACGTCCATATAACCTCCATACCTCCATGCGACCTCTACCTCCACGGTGGACAACAGATGGATTTCTAATAGATATCCATACTATCTCCACAATAGATATCGTCTACAAATTCATCATGGATGTACATTAGACATCTATTATGGATATATGATAGATTTATACATCCTTGCATTGAATAAAATAAAAATTAAGTTTTATTTAAAATTCTTATTTCTGAGAATGTTTTAAAAAATATTGAAAAATTTGTAATTATATATATATTATTCAATTTTCAACTTATATATACGTAACATTTATTAAAACAGTTTTTAAAAATATACTTACATAATAATACAATAGTAATAGCAAGATTAACAAATTGTATGAATCAAAACTTTTTAGATTAAACTGTAATATTTATAAAATTTATTATTAAATATAAAAATTTTTAATTTTTTAATTAAAAATAGAAAGTATTGAATTTGAAATGACTTTAAATCTTGCAAAAAATACATTAGCTAGTTTTTAATAAAATTACTGTTACAAGTACGCAAATAAATAAATAATGATTAAAAAACATTCAACAATTTAGAAATTAATTCGATAAATAAATATCTCCTAATAATTAATGAAAATTAACGTAGACAATTTTTTTATAATAGAATATATATTTTTATTGATAACGTTTATAAATAAAAGTATAATTATATAATACAATATGTTAATATAAAATTACTACAAGTGTATTTTCAATATATATATAAATTTTTTTGCGACCTTTATTACATAACTCCTAGAATGACAAAGAAAGATAACATACCGAATTTACAAAAGGAAGACTTTTCTCGCTTGATTTTCGGTCTCAATACAAAAACAATGTTCCCAGATTATACATATATATATTTTTTTTCCGATGAGTAACGCGAGGACATTATCTTATAATTAGACAAATTAGGTCGATAAAATAATATATAGATACAAATATTTGTATAGTAATGCTAATTGTAATGATGACAAACATGAACGCTTATTCTCTTATGAAAAATTTTCGTATACGAAGATGACGCTGAACGAAAATTGTGTGTTGTGTGTTGTGTGTGTGTGTGTGTGTGTGTGTGCGTGTGCGTGCGTGCGTGTATGTGTGTATGTGAGATTGGTATATACTTTTACACAGTTAAAAATATATACCAATCAGAGAGATCGCGCAGCATCATTTTCGCATACGAAAAATTTTCTCGCTCCATTTTCGGTTTCTACGAAAAAAATCTTTCCAGATTATACATATATTAATATATTTTACCCGAGTAACGCGAGGACGTCTTATAATTAGACAAATTAGGTCGGTAAAACAATATATATATATTATAGATACAATTATGTGTATAGTAATGCTAATTGTAATTATACTGACAAACATGAACGCTTATTCTCATATAAAAAATTTTCATATGCGAAGGTGACGTTGTACGAATATTGCGTGCGTGCGTGCGTGCGTGTGTATGTGTGTGTATAAAATAAAATATATGTATAATATATATGTGTAAATATATGTATAAAATATATAATACAATATGTTAAATATAAGAGATATAAGAGAGTTTTACACATATATATACATACATATATTTAATGAAGAAAATATATATACATTGGGTGCGTTCCGTTATGCACTGCAAGTACTGGCACTATGACGTCATGCAAGTGTACTGTTGACAGCGTTCCTTTTTAATTTTGTGCACTTTGAAGCTACTGCAAAATAGTAAAACGGAACGCACTACAGTACGCTTTCAGCAGACTTTTAACTAACCTTTTTCGCTAATAATCATCGAGTGAAAAATTGGTGAAATGGATAATACCATTATTGCATTAATTACATATAATTTAATCGAGAATATATATGATTCGAGTGAGTCATCAAGTGAAAGCGATTTGGAAATGGAATTAATAAATGAAATGAGACGACAAATTAAAATACCTAGAATAAAATGTAAAATTACGTTAAAAATATTGTATCATTATATTCAGATATGGAATTTAAAAGTTAGTTCCATCGTACACATGGAGGTAGCCATCTTGATTACTGCGAGTGCTTTACCTCGCCGGTTGCAGTAATCGCAACAGGAAATAACGTCAAAATTAATGACGTCATATACTCATGATAGTACTTTCGCAGTGCACTGCTATCTATATCGGAACGCTATTGGTAGTACTGTCAGTACTTGCAGTGCATAACGGAACGCACCCATTGAATGCGTGTGTGTGTATGTATATATACACACACACGCGGGCGCGCGCAATGAAAATGCTTATAACGTTACGTTTTGCAGGAGGACATGGAGCAGGTGGCAAATTTACACCAGACTCTTCTTCGCTTTCCGACGAAGAGTAAATTTTTCTCGCTCTATGTTTTCGGTAATATTTTGCTTCCTTTTCCGTGTCCATATCTGACGTGTATAAAGCTTTCTCTGCCTTCGCATAAGCCTTCTGTAAGGACGCTGAAAATATTATAAACATTAAATATTATAAATAAGTAAAATATTTATAAAAGTCAGTAAAACCCTATACTTAAATATAGTACTTACAATATTCGCCAAAAATTCTTATAACTTCTAATGCGGGCCAATCAAACTTTGGTATCTCCTGTTTCTCTACCGCTTTTCGGATTTTTATATCTGTCTTAAAATGCGAGAGATATTTGCATTTATCTTTATTTTGCAACCAAATTTTTGGTATTACTTGAATACCATCCGGGAATTCTGCGACGACAAAGCCTTGATTCGACATCTTCCAATGCGATTCTAAAAAAGAGCTTCTGCGTGTAATATTGTAATAAAAAAAGAAATCAATTTATATAGATGTGTTTTGTGTATATGTGTATTGTTATGTATATGCATTTGTTATGTATATGTAATTGTTGTCTCAACCACAATTTTGTCAGTTTATTTAAATTTTGTCAATTTATTTTAATTTTTTATTTATAAAAGATATTACAAAGCGGAGCGCAATATGTAAATATTATAAATGTGCGGTGCTTATAAGCGGTATTACTGCGAAATATCTTTCATTTTTATATGGCAATTTTATAAATTTAGATCTAATTTTATGTAAAGGCCAGACTTGAATGTCAGATAATTTACTCACTTTAAATATATCCAAATGAACAGAACTACATGGATTATTATAAAGTTCTTCGACA